CGGGGCCTGCCCTTACTCGGCTTCTCCCTGTTTGTTCATTCTTTATTTAAAAAACCTTCTTGGTCTTATTGAACTCTTATATATATATAGGATGCTATGCTAAACAGTCTTCAGAATAAAAATATGTTCGAGATGGTATCTTCCCTTTGCAAACTTATGATATTATTGGTAAAATAAGAAGAATGTACTATGATAAGCATAGAATGTTACATGTGCCACAACATGTACAAAATGTTCTAGAAACTACCAGGAGGAAGACATACTTTTTAAGTTAGGTACCTAGAAAAGATTTCATCAAAAAGTGTCATCCAAGACTCATGAAAACAAGGTAGTTTGGAAGTAGTTTGAGAAGTAATTTTGTTTCTTCAGTCAGAACTGGTTCCTAATATAAGTTCAACCATTTTTTAAACCTTTGCTTTAGAAATTTTTCTTCATTCCTTAGTTTATCCATTATAAGATGGAATAAAAAAATAGTTCCCTTGTCAGTATTCTATCATTGATGAAAGGATCAAAAGTGAAATATATTAACAGTTCTAACACTGCTTTATGCAAATGTGGAATATTACCTGTGCTAAAGTAAGAGTGATGGCCCAGATGTGATCAGTAGGAATGAAGTGAAAGGGCTTTGAATATAGAGAGACTAGCACAGGAAAGAATGTGGAATTGAAGCCAGAATTAGGCAAGCAGTCAGTGTAGATGCCGCAGTCCCGCTGCAGCAAAATAACGGGGTGGGGGTGGGGTGATGAACAACTTGTGTAGATTGATATAGCAGGAGTAAGAGCCGTTTATTGTAGGACAAGAGGGGTATATATACATTACACACAGCTTATCTTAATTAACATAAACTAGATACAGCAGTCAACCAATAAGGAATCTCCACACTTAATGGCTCGCTGGCATTACTTCACAAACCACTCCCTCTGGCAGAATGCCAGGCGCCATCTTGACTTGTTTACAGACCCTAACATGTAGATAGGTAAATCAAGTCAGGTCAGATCTAGGAGGCCAATTTTGAGTGAGTCTTGGAAGTTGGAGACTGTTTCCTGAGGGATCTTATCAAGAACCTGCCCTAGCTCCAACCTCCTGCCAAGGTACCCTGTCCCAGGACTTTCCCCTCCCTACAGGGAGCTATAAGATTGTTAATGTGTCCTTGTTTACTCCATCCTGCCCTTCCCCCTTCAGCTCACCCATTTCCCACCTTTTGGCCACCCCACTGAAGGCAGGAAGAAGAAAGATAAGGGGGAAAAGGCAGGAGAACAAAGGAAGCCTAGGACATGTAGAGAGGGCAGAACACTTCGCTTCTTGGGATACCATGATATCAGCTATGGCACCCTTCTTTCTCTCAGGAGAAGTCTGTGTTACCCCTTTTTAAATAAACCCTGCTTCATATGCTTGCCTCGGTGTGCTTTTTTAATGTTCAAACTTCAACATGGGGGAAGCAGGACTCGTCACCGATAACCAGCGGTATCAGAATGACAGCAAAAGGTGAGTGTTATGTCTCACATATCATGTGTCCCCCAAAAGCTCATATGTGAGACAATGCAAAAAGGTTCAGAGTTGAAATTATTATGAGAGCTGTAACCTAATAGTGCATCAATCCACTGATAAGGATTAACTGGGTCATAACTATAAGCAGGTAGGTTGTGGTTGGAGGAGGTAGGTCATTGGGGTCATGACTTTGATATATATATTTTGTCCCTTGTGAGTGGAACTCTCTCTACTTCCTGGCCATCATGTTCTGAAATAATTTCCTTCACTATGCCCTTCCACCATAGTGTTCGGCTTCACCTTGTGCTCAGAGCTCTGGATTCAGCCCACCATGGACTGAGTCTCTTTAACAATGAGCTAAAATAAACTTTTCCTTCTCTTTATTGTTTTTGTCAAGTTTTTTTGGACACAAATGAAAAAACTGACTAAAATAATGAGACAAAAAATAACGAGGCCTCTGCAGTGACTAGAGGTCATAATCACTGCCTTGGACTCCAGGAAGCATGCAGTCACTGAAGGGACACTCTCTCGAAGGGTGCACCATGTGCTCAGAACAGGGAAAGCAGCAGCCCCCTTGTCTGTAGAGTTGACCATAGTCTAGGGAGTTCTCAGGATCTCTGCTACAAATTGTGCCTCAAGTAACCATAAACTCTAGAATTGACGGCTAGAAGTTTTGAAAGAACAAAGGCTCATCTGATGCATTTGTGTCTTGGTCTATAGTCAAAAGTGGCTGAATAGAGCTGAAGCAAAAGCCTGAAGAGCTTTGTGCAGCTCTTGAGGATATGAAGGTCTACAAATGACTGGTTGGAACTTGGTGGGGGAGAGTGGATCTAGCCCTTCCTTCCTCCTCCTTTTCCTCTTTGTCTAAAGGCATATCAGTTGACACTGGTTCTGGGAAGGCTGGGACTACTGGTCTTCATGAAATGAGACTATGGAATGTGAAAATCAGGGAAGGCAATCTTGCTCTGAGGAATAAAGACAGCTGCCTTTTAGGCTCTCATCATCCATATCTCCTGTAATTGTTCTATCCTTGCCGGCACCTAAGAGTGCTTTCTAAAAGAGCTGATATACTTGGCTAGAGTGAGAAATGTATAAAGCAGTTAACCAGATGTAGGTTTTTCTTTAACTCTCTCTTATAAATTAGCTGAGTTAAAAACAAAATATTGATGAATAAATGTCATGAGAATTAAAATTTCAGGTAAAAAATTTTTTAAAAAATATCTTCACAAAAGAAGAGTGTTAGCTGTATATACCATTGTAACCATGAAGGAAAGCACAGCATAATTTCATTTTGTGGAAACCACTGCAAATAATCAAACTTCTATTAAATTATTAGGTCTAAAAAGACTAGTCATGCTTTTAATATATATTTTATTTTGGAATAATAAATTCGACAATTTGAAAGATTGGCAGATTATAAAGATAGTCTGAAACAAATAGGACCAAAAGGAACAGGAATAAAACAAAGTCCCATATCTACATTAAAGGGAGAAATAAGTTAAATCAACGGAGAATGAAGAAAACTTTACCAGATATTAATGATTCGTTTTGAAAAACCTCAGGAGGTTTTATGACCTTAAAATCAGTGCAAGCCATGAGGGTCATACAACTATTGAAATTCAGTCCAGGTCAATAGAGGGCTCAATCTTGTCATAGTTCACATAGAAACAAACCTCCTCTCATTCATTTTTTATCAAAAGATGAATATATTCAGGACACTATGCTAAATATTATTCCCATACCTGAAGTATTTAAACTCAAACTTGAAGTCAAAATTAGAGATTTTTTTAACTTGAAAAAGTAATGCGTTTCATTTTTTAAAAGGCTCAGAAAATAAAGAAAAACACAAGGAAGAAAACCAACATCTCATTTGTACTATTAACTAGAGTAAACCTATAATAGTGATGTCCAGAGAAGGCACCCACCCCTCCCAGATCATTATCCCCTTCAGAAACTTGTTCAGGGGGTGACAGTTTGGGGTAGACTTTTGATAAACTTTATATCCAGTCATCTTTAAACTTACTGTAAGACACTTATAAGGTTATATAAAAGTTTTGGCACAAATATATTTATTATTTAAAATTTGTGGTAAGTCTAGACTAGCAAACAATGCCCAATATCCTTGCTAGTAGCCTTTCACAAACTTTATTAAGCAGCATATAACTAAAAAAACAACAGCAATAATCAGATGCCACAATTGGAGATAGAAGCTTCTTTGTCTTCAGGGTTCTAGGTCTTGGGCAAAAGTGTAGGGAGCTAAATTTCTGAAAATTATATTACATATCTTCCAACTATCTTTCTATCCAGATAAATAATATTATAGATCTTATTGACTAAGAAATGTTTATTTAAATAAATATGTTGGGAACAATGCTTTACCACAGGATATAATTTATAAGAATAAGAGGTCCATTGCATAGCTATCACCAATAATTTATTAAAATTCTTTTTTTTTAGGTTTAAACAAATAAATAAGGCTGATTCTTTTGATACTGTTAGGTAGCCTAACCTTTTCACATATTGAGAATATTAAGAACAGTCTTTCTCTCATTAATTCTATTTAGATTGTATTATTTTCATATCTTCATAATATTCTTTTTAATGTCTCTAATTCACTTAAATAATTCCCTATTTGTAAAAGTTAAATATATTTCCATGTTATTGTCATTATAAATAAAAATATCTACACAAATCTTTTTGAATCAGAATGGTTTCAATATTTTTAGGGTTTGTAATATATATTCATATTTCCTTTCAGCAAGACTGAGTCAATTTGTAGCCTTCCATATCCTAGTAAAGGGTTTAGTTCCTGTGCCTGCCAAATCCATCTATATGTGTGACACATGTTCCTTGCCTCCGTAACTCCAAGCTATATTTATTTATTATATTTATTCATAGCCATTATGTATTAGGTACTGTCGTGGGCCATCGTATTAAAATGGCATGTAAGCACATGTGATCCTGTCTCCATGATGCCTATAGCCTAACTAGGGAGACAGAAGATTAAAGAAACAGTTGCTTTCAGTCACTAGTTTAATGTAGACACTGACCTCGGTAAATTAGAAATGAAATTAGAAACCCCTGTGGTCTAGGAAATGATATGTTGTCAACACAAAACGTCTGCTTCTTATCTCCTTGCTTTGTAACTCACACTAGAGTGATCACCTCCTGAACCTGTTACCTCAGAGGTAACAGTCAGTAGGCTCTGATAGATGAGAGCTCATGATAAAGTCTGTTGTTTTTCCATAATGAAGACTGCACTTCCTTGGGTAGAAGTGGGACTGGGTAAATTCAATAGTGGACACAATACTACACCAGCCTCTAAATTGTAATTTATAGAAAAGTCCTGTAAAAATTTAACTTCTGGCTTACAATCCATTCCTCTTCCTTCTCCTGGACTAATCATAGGAGGTATTCTCTGCAGAGATTCCTTTGAAATGCTAACCTCTAATTTTGGCCCCCAGAACTCCTCAGGACTTCATAGAAGATATCAACCCCAGTTTCACCAGACTTCACACTTCCCCTCTAACCATTTCTCTGCCAGATTTCCTCAGGTTAGCATCCTGTCCCTGGTACAGGTGAAGAGTTCGACGTAGGGCTCTCTTGACCTCTTGGTTACGCAAGCAGTAGATGATGGGATTGAGCAAAGGTACAATGACAGCATAGAGTACAGAGACCAGCTTGTTGGTGTCAAAAGCAGAGAGTGCTTTAGGCCGGGCATAGATGAAGATACTGGCTGCATAGAAGATGACCACAACAGTGAGGTGAGAGGCACAGGTGGAAAAGGCTTTATGGCGTCTGGCGGCAGAGGGGATGCGCATCACAGCACCAGTGATGGCCATGTAGGAAGCTCCAGTGACAGAGAGTGGTCCCAGCAGGATAAAAATGGCCAGAACAAAGTCTGTAAGTTCGGCTGTGGACATGTCAGTGCATGAAAGGTTGAGCAATGGGGAGACATCACAGAAGAAGTGGTTGATGATGTTGGGGCCACAGTAAGAAAGGCGAGAAATGAGAAACACTTTGACCATGGAGATGCCAAAGCCTCCAGCCCAGGAGCCAGCAGCTAGCTGTACACACAGTCGGCCACTCACAATGACAGCATAATGGAGAGGATGACAGATGGCCACATAGCGATCATAAGCCATAACAGCAAGAAGGACACACTCAGTGCAGCCCAATCCCAGGAAAAAGTAAAGCTGGGTCATGCAACCCTCAAAGGAGATTATCTGTCCATGATTCTGCTTGGACTCAATGAAGCCAGAAAGCATCTTGGGAATAGTGACAGTAACATACCAGATCTCTAGGAAAGACATATTAGCCAGAAAAAAATACATGGGTTTGTGAAGGGTGGAGTGGTTCCTAATTGCCACAATGATGAGGGTGTTTTCAGATAGCACTAACACATAGGCCAGCAGAGAAAGGGAGAACAACAGTGCCCGCAGGGGCACAGGAGCTGGGAAGCCCAGCAACACAAACTCACTCACTCTCCCACTGTGATTCCTCCGCTCCATGATGTCACTTTTGTCCACAGTTCTTCAGGAGATGGAAATGGAGTGTCTTCAAGGGGCAGCCTCAAGAATCTAGCTTTTCTCTTGGTGGGTTTATGTTGATAAGATGCAGTATATAGAGTACATATAATTAATCACTGAGCTGAGAAATATGATAACACGAACATGCACAAAACTAAATAGGTTTGTTTTGGAGACAGAATAGAAGTTGGTTCTGGCACTTTGGGAAGCATGTATTGAGAAACACCAAGTAAGATGATGCTAGTTGATCCCAAGGTCTCTCTTTAGTCCTATACAAAAGCAAGAGGGAATGATTAAGATCATCAATTTTGAAATGAAAATACAGTAGTAATAAATTTTCATAAGCAAAATAAAATGAAAATAAACCCAAAATGGTGAGTTTCAGTTGCCCTAAAGTGAGAATTTGTCATAAATTGGATTGTAATTCTATTGTGAGGAAATAAATTTCACAGTGGAGGAATGACAATACTATATAACACATCTGAGCATTTACTGTGCATTATTATTGCAGGCACTGCAGGATTAGTTCACTTGATCTTCAGAAAAATCTTTCAACTACTCTGAGTAATTGCCTCACTTAATACCTAGGGAAACTGAAGTATAGAGAGATTAAGAGACATGCTCTAGGTCACATAGATGGTAAGAAATGAGACCAGGAAGTTAGGACCTTGGTGCTTCTAAAATATTCAGGTGATATGCAGGATGGAATGTAAGATATATCCTAAATTCACATATAGGAGAGGGAATTGTTGGGATTCAGCTAGACAAGCAGTTCCTATCTGCAAAGAAAAGAGACCAAAGCAGAACACCAAAGGTTACAACAACTGTAGGATGAAAGTCCCACAAAGCTCAGCACTCAAGGGAAGGACATGGGACACACTGGAAAACCAGGCTAGGAAACAGATGCCAGATGTCAGAAAAACTGACAATCTCATCAGTTATAAAAGTTGTGCTAACTCTCTTGGAATGAGAGTAGAGTACCTTCTTTTAGCCTCAAGACCAATTTACATTTGGTGGACCACTCTCTGTTTATCTTGATATCAAAGACAAATTTTTCTCTTTTGAAACTTCAAGATTTTTTTTCTGGGCCTGATATGAAATAGAAGTTAGCATTTTCACATGATGATTGATTTGAATAAAGGACTATTTTTCACCCCACCCCCTGTATGATCATAAATTGAGAGGAGTGCACAGATTAGAAAGAACGGACTAGACAGTCAGCTGAATACCTCAGTGCTATTTCCTCTCACAAATTTTCTTTCGTTTTACTCTTAGACCTATGAAGACCTTTACTCTTAGCTTCTATGAGGTACTAGGAGCAAAATGTGCTGGCAAATCAAACTTTAACCTGCTAATGATTTTATACCTGAGATTCTCGTCTCTTTATACTCTGCTGTCGTTACTTGAGCCCTTGACATTTCTCTCAGTACGAGAGACTTGCATTTCCCATCACCTCTGTTCTTACCATCCTCATCCAAATATTGTTTATTTCAAAATTTAAATGGATCAATGATGTTCTAGATTATCCATAAGTTAAGAGTTTGTAGTACATAAGGGTTAATAGTGTTTAAGAAGCTCATGATCTAGTAGTAGGAATGTGTCTTCATATTCTAACACTTAAAAGCTTACACTGCCATGTCCATCTCCCCATCATGCACTAGCTTCCTAAGTGGGAACTCAAACTTGCAATTGTCCTTTTTGACCTTAGCCTTGGTCTTTTCTCTTCAATAACTGATTTGTATGCCATTCATTGGGCTTTTGACCCCCTTGACCTCAGACCTGCCCACTTATCCTTTAATAGAATAGGATAATAGAAAACTATCTTAACATTTGATGCTCTGCAAACTTGAAAATAAAAAAACTTTCACAGGTGAACTTCTAATTGGTATCTCTGCCTGTGATCTCACCCCCACGCCTCAAATCTTCTTCCTCTACTCCTCTACTTAAAAACCTGTCCACAGTGCCCCATTACCTGCATAATAATGTTTGAACTATTTAACAAGACCTACAGATACTTCATGATCTGCCCTTACTTTCACCAAAATCTTGCTTCTTGCCACAGTCCACATTGTCTTGTAAGCCCTGAAGCTCTAAGCACATGTTATCACCACCTAACTCTGCTCATGTTACTGTGTCATGAGCATGACTGACTCCTACATGCCTTCAAGTCCTGACTCATGTGGCATACCCTCATCAGTTACTCTTCTTTTCCTTTTACCTTTGTAGTTTGGGTGAATTTCTTCTCATTACTGCTCCCATTAAATAATGTGAAAACTTAAGTACCATTTTATTTGCTGTATCACTGCTGCCATTACTTAGATAGATATAAAAGAGGAGCTACGTAGTTGAAGTGGCCCCATATATTGTTACTGATAAAATAAGGAGTGGACATGATTTCCCAGAAGTCACTAGAGTTTCTCAAATGAAATGTGTTTTAGAGAAATCCTTCCCAAACCCATTATTCCTCTATCACAATGAATGGCATTTGTTTCCATGGAGTCACCTATGCCAGAGATCTGGAAGTTTCCTAGATATTTCATGCTCATCCTCCTCCTGCCCCACATTCCACCCACAGTAATCTAAATCCCATCTAAACTGTCTGTTTCACTGTCCCTCAGGTCTGTCTCCTTTCTCCTGTCCTATTTCTACTGCCTTTTCTCTAGACCCTTATACCAGGTCCTTGCTATTTCTTAACTTAGTGATTTCAATAGTTTTCTTACCTTGCCTTTCTTACTCCAGACTGAACTTCCTCATTCTACTCCTCCACTTATTTCTGGAGTGACCATGAGGGCATCCAGTATTGACAAACACATATGAAATCCTCCAAAAAGCCATCAAAATGTGTTTCCTTTAACTGTTCCACAGCAGTCATTGCTCACTTTTTTCCCTAAACATTCCATGATGTTTTCTCACTCAGTGACTTGGCACATATACTTTTCCCTATCAAAAAAACTCACCCTGCTCCCAGGAATTTATATTTATCTTTCATGTTTTCATTTTTTATTTATCACTCCTCCCAAACTATCCATATTCTGCAGACATAGATTAGTAACTGGTATCTCTGTCTCTCCTGACAGTATTTCCTATTAGAGGGTCTTCTTTAGTTAGGAAAGACACTACAATGGCTATATGGATGCACAGGTGGATGGAAAAGTGGAGAAAGGTATAATATGCACAGAAGAGATGAACTGCAAATAATAGGAGTGAAATATAATGAAGGCAGAATAGAAAAAGGATTTGAGTAGAAATGATCACAAGTGGAGAATTTCAATAGATTACCAAAAAGTTTGACAGATTTGGAAAGACACATTGATTGTAAATCTTCAGGTGCCAGAAAAATCATGAGGATGTTAGATTAAGTGCAGGAAGATTGGACTGTCTAGGTAATAGTTATGGTATTAGGGTGAGATGAACTTGCAGTATAGACTGTAGATTCAATGAGAGAATATTAGGTGAAGATATAGAATACAGAAAGAATGGACTAGTAATGGAAGATCATAAAGGACATAGGAAGAACAGGCAGAATAGGAATAAAGAACATGAATGAAAAAGATGAAGAAAGTGTATTGGTCTGAGTATCAATAGAATGGACCAGATGTGGACAATATTAATACGAGTTCAGAGTTCTGTTTTGTGTAGAGAGGAGTAAGAAAATGGAAGTACTGAGCAAAATAAAGAAAACATGGGAGAACTGACCACTTGAAGAGAAATCAGCAGATAATAGAATCTACTCACTCTTTTAGATGAGATGGCTAGACTGGTTAGCAGAGGAATTAGGGAGTATATTTAAAAGACAGTTAAAGCACAGGGCAAAGAAAGATATAGAGACTCCACCTTCTCTTTCTTCCATGTCAGAGAGCTCTGCCAAACCAAGCAAGATCCCTTTATCTTGCACTTTACTTCCTTTCGCCTTTGTTTTCTCCTCCTCCTTCTGATGCTTTGGGATGGTTCCAAGGCAGGAGTCCAAGAGACCAAAAAGAGATACAAGTGAAATGTTTGGGAAACTCAGTAAAATAATTTGGGGCAATTTACTTAACTTCTTTGAGCCTTAGATTCCTAATCTACTTAACAATATTTATGTGCCTCACAGAGTCACTGAGGAGTAAATACTATAAGACATAAAGTGTGTGAACTATGATGGGGGCCCCATTTCTCTCCTGCCCTTATCCTTTCCTTTACCTCTGGCAACCACTAATCTGTTCTCTATTTTTGTGTTTTGCCATTTTAGGAATGCTATAAAAGGAATCATACTCTATGTAATCTTTTGGAATTGGCTTTTATTTTTTTTCCCAGCATTTTGCTTTTCTTTTCTCCAACATTTTCTGGAGAATCACAAAGAAAATAAAAAACAATTGATTGTATCAATATCTGACTTTTCTTAACTATTGAGTAGCATCCCACACTATGGACATACTTTAGTTTAAATATACAACAGTTGAATAATATCTGGGTTGTTTTCAGGTGGGGCTATTGTGAATAAACCTACTATAAACATTGTGTGTAGTTTTCATGTGAACATTTGTTCTCATTTTTTCTAGGACAAATGCACAGAGTGCAAGTACTGAGGTGTATGTGAATCAAATGATCAGTTTTTTTTAAAAGAAACTCTCAAACTGTTTTCTAGAGTGGTAACCACATCTTATATCACTGCCAGAAATGCATGAGTTATACAGTTTTTGTGCATCCTTGTCATCATTTAAAGTTGCCACTGTTTTTAATTTTAGTGTTTTTGGTAAGAGTGTAATGATGTCTTGTGGTTTCATTTTCATTTGGATCCTAAATAACACTCTTCTAGGTAATCAATGGATCACAGAAGCAATCTCAAAAGAGATTTTAAAGTACATTGAATGAAAATGAAAGTAGCATTGGATAAAAGTCATAATTTTGTGGGACATAGCTAAAGCAATGCCAAGAAAAATTTTATGGCACTAAAAACACATTTCTGAAAAATAGAAAATCTGAAATTGACACTTTAAGAACTTAGAAAAATAAGAAGAGTAATATCAACACAAAGCAAACAGGAAGAAAAAAATCATGAAAGAGCAGAAATCA